TGATTTAGTCATCAGCAAAGTTTTTAAGATTGACTCAATTATGGTACCATACGAATTTCGTCCAAATCAAATTTTTGATGAAAGAAAACATATTATTGACGCAGTGGCCAAACAATATCTTGAACAGGCTACTAGTGATGTACATCATCTTGTTCCAGTCAAAGTCGCTCCTAATGGAAATTGTTTGTACTATTCTATTCTTGTTCTAATGAATAATCCAGCAGTGACAACGAGTGAATTACGAGGTATGTAAATTTCTGTTCCAGTTATGTTATTGCACAAGTTGGTTCGCGATATTTTTTAGTTCGAACAATTATTGAACTTGTTACGAATGAAACTTATTATTCAAACACGTACTCACCTTTCGTCGGTCCTATCGACATTGCAATCCAAACTGTATGTAAAGATCATACATTTTCTGAATTGTATGAAATTGCTGCATTATGCAATGTACTTAAATGTAACATACGAACGGTCTATCCACAAATTGACGTCGGAAACTATACAGCTATGGCCAATAATATCTTTCATCCTTGTCTACCTATTGTTGCTAATTGTGAAATTAAAATATTGTGGTCACACACCTTAAGCGAAAAAGAAGCAAGAATTGTAAATAACTCCACATGGAGTCCGAATCATTTTGTTCCTCTTCTGCCACCATCTGTTCAACGTGAATTCGATACTAATAATCAATCAGCGTCAATTCTTGTGGTAGGTTTTTTTTATCTATAGCAGAGAATTCACAACTGTTGTGATTTATTTAGACTCCTGAAAAGCAAACATTTAAGAATAATTCTGTTATCCAAATACGAATTCCTGAATTTCAATTAACTCCTAGCAGACGTTTACGAAGTGAAATTAATATAGACACTCTTTCTTGTCAATCGATCATACCCGATGAAATATTGAAAGATCAGAATGACAAAGAAGAACACCGTCAACTTCAACTTGAAAAGAAACGAGAACAAGCTCAATCTAGCCGAACGAATGAAACCGAACAACGGCGCCAAAATCGACTTGAAAAGAAGAGAGAACAGACTCGATCCAGTC